TGAGCACTTGGCAGGCCAGCAGCGTAATTCTGTTAAAAACAAGACGAAACACATCTGCGTCTAATAAGAAGCACTGGTGAAAATGCAGCCCTTCTGTAAATAAAGAGGGAAAGTGTAGAACATTCTCTGAGTATTTACATCAGAGCGGCGCAGATGGAGAGTTTACAGCATGAAGGATAATCTCCCATGTGTTCTGATGTTGAAAAGCTTCATTCTGATGTAAACCTGATGAAACAGTGATTATCATGCTCAGGTTCGGGATTCACCCGGTGGCGGGCCGCATGCCTGGACAGCTCAATGTGCTTCTGGCCGAAGCTGGCGTCCCGTACGACGTCGTTCTAGAGATGGACGAGATCAACGAGGATTTCCCAGGTCAGGATCAACAGCATGAGCTGATGTGCATTCAACGAGATTGTTATTTGTGACCCTGGAGCACAAAAGCAGTCATAAGGGTCAATTTTGAGAAATTGAGATGAATGCATCATCTGAAAGCTGAATAAATAAGCTCTCCATTGATGTATGGTTTGTTAGGATAGCACAATATTTGTAAATCTGGAATCTGAGGGTGCAAAAAAATCTAAATATTGAGAAAATCATCTTTAAAGTTGTTCAAATGAAGTTCTTAGCAATGCATATTACTAATCAAACATTAAGTTTTGATATATTTACGGTAGGACATTTACAAAATATCTTCATGGAACATGATCTTTACTTAATATCCTAATGATTTTTGGCATAAAAGAGAAATGGATAATTGTGACCCATACAATGTATTGTTGGCTATTGCTACAAATATCCCCCAGCGACTCAACACTGTTTTTGTGCTGCAGGGACACTTATAACATTTAGTGTAATTGTTGAAAGTGCAGAGATGCACATTGCAGCTTCTCTTCAGACTCTTATTTTCCCTTTCATTTTATTTACAGAAATCAAGTGCTATGCTTTTAATTTGTTACATATTTAAATAACTACTGATCCAACCGTTACATCTCTCTGAATCTTTAGTATCTATATCTACACTACTGTACAAACAGTAGTCAAAGAAGTCTCTTTCAAATCAAGGCTGCATTTATTTGATCAAAAATACAGTAAAAAATATGAAATATTATAATGTAAAACAGCTGTTTTCTATGTGAATCTCTGTTAAAGTGTAATGTATTTCTGTGATGTGCAGCTGTATTTTCAGCATCATTCCTCCAGTCTTCAGTGTCACATGATCTTCAGAAATCAGTATAATATGCTGATCTGCTGCTCGAGAAACATTTCTGATTATTATCAATGCTGAAAACAGTCGTGCTGCACAATATTTCTGTGGAAACTGATACATTGTATTTTTCAGGATTCACAGATGAACAGAAAGTTCAAAGGAGCAGCGTTTATTTGAAATTGAAATATTTTGTAACATGTCTTAACTGTCACTTTTTTTTATCAATTTTAAAGCAGCCTTGATCAATAAAATATTTTTTTTAAGACCCCAAAGTTTCGAGCGGTAGAGTATATGTGTTAAATAGCACATGCAAAGTCAGTTTTCCATGAAATATAAAGCGAGTGATTTGAGGTGCAGTGAGAAAGGCGTCTCGTATCTGTCAGACGGATGAGCCGATGATCCACAGACGGCTGTAAAGTTATTTGGCAGCGGTTGGGACACATGTGCACTCTGATCTATGTAATAATTCACTTTATGTAATTGTGCCTAGACATGCAATGTATCGCAGTGACCCCGTGTTGCAGCGACTGGCGTCTGTGCGGTCCGAGTCGGAGGGCAGCACGTGTTTTTGTTTAGCTGGAGCAGATAAGCATGTAGAGCGAGGAGAAACCCGATCCCATCGCATGAGAGCGGCTAATAGCACTTCTGATTGTTCTCGCTGTGTCTGTGCAGAAGCTGACCTGGCGCTCGTGATCGGAGCCAACGACACGGTCAACTCAGCCGCGCAGGAGGATCCCAACTCCATCATCGCCGGGATGCCTGTGCTGGAAGTCTGGAAGTCCAAACAGGTGCGAGGTTTACTGCAATCATTAGAGCTGTCAACTAATCACACATCAATTTTGGTTGAGAAATCACCCCCTAAAAGATCATTTGAAGTCATAATTGTGTTAAAAGTATTTTGATTCAACATTGCATAAATGATGATAATAAATTGAGTATCAATGTTTTTAATGAATATTGAAATATGAAATGTGTCCCTGCAGCACAAAAGCAGTGTTGAGTCGCTGGGGGATATTTGTAGCAATAGCCAACAATACATTGTATGGGTCACAATTATACATTTCTCTTTTATGCCAAAAATCATTAGGATATTAAGTAAAGATCATGTTCCATGAAGATATTTAGTAAATGTTCTACCGTAAATATATCAAAACTTAATGTTTGATTAGTAATATGCATTGCTAAGAACTTCATTTGAACAACTTTAAAGATGATTTTCTCAATATTTAGATTTTTTTGCACCCTCAGATTCCAGATTTTCAAATATTGTTCTATCCTAACAAACCATACATCAATGGAAAGATGATTTATTCAGCTTTCAGATGATGCACACAGCTCAATTTCAAAAAATGGACCCTTATGACTGGTTTTGTGCTCCAGGGTCACGTATGATTCTAACAAAATGAAATGATACCCTCCATATGAAACTAAAGCGCCAGTAGGTGGCGGTACTGAGTGAGTCATTGAATCATTCATTCAACTGATTCGTTCAAACTGCTGATTCATTCAGAAATGGAGCAAGTGACTCTCTTTATGAACGAGTCACTGAATCATTAATTGACACAAAGCTTCATTCAGTAAGGAATCAAACGCTCAACAGTTCTGCCGTGACTTCGATTGCAACTGTTTTAGTTTGTGAAATTGAGCAAAATATTGACAATATTGTGTCTAAAATGCAACACAATATTAACGTCTTGTTTGTTGTATAAATCTATATCACGTTTGCAGTGGTGCAGATATTGGGGAGAAACAGCACTATTGTTGGTGTGATATTACTAAACTACATCATATGATCAGAATATATATTGCGCTCATATCTTGAATTTTAAGCGCATATAACCTCATTCTAATAGACTCTATCACACATCCTTCATCCTGATCATCAGACACTGCATCAGTGGAAGATGACAGACAGCTCTGAAAGGGGCAGATGCATGCTTTCCATAATTAATTGCTCCAAATTAACATGTTAAAAGACAGTCCTAGTATGAACCGCAGCAGTGAATCAGTCATGACTGGAGTGTGTGTGTGTGTGTGTGTGTGTCTGTGTGAATGTGTCTGTGTGAATGTGTGTGTGTGTGTGTGCGCGCGCGTGTGTGTCTGTGTGAATGTGTGTGTGTGTATGTGTGTGTGCGTGCGAGTGCGTGTGTGAGAATGTGTGTGCGTGCGTGCGTGTGTGTGTGAGTGTTTGTGTGAATGTGTGCGTGTGTGTGTGAGTGTTTGTGTGAATGTGTGCGTGTGTGTGAATGTGTGTGTGTGCGAGTGTGTCTGAGTGTGTGTGTCTGAGTGTGTGTGTGCGAGTGTGTCTGAGTGTGTGTGAGTGTGTGTGTGTGCGAGTGTGTCTGAGTGTGTGAGTATGTGTGTGTGTGTGTGCGTGCGAGTGTGAGTGTGTGTGTGTGTGCGAGTGTGTCTGAGTGTGTGTGTATGTGTGTGTGTGAGTGTGTGTGTGTCTGAGTGTGTATGTGTGTGAGATTTTGTACACAGGTGATCGTGATGAAGCGTACTCTGGGTGTGGGATACGCAGCGGTGGACAATCCCATCTTCTACAAGCCCAACACTGCTATGCTGCTGGGAGACGCCAAGAAGACCTGCGACAGTTTACAGGCCAAAATCAGAGAGGCCTACTACTAACACACAGCTCCAGACACATGCACAAGAACACACTTTATTACACATTAAAGTGCCTTAAAAACAAGAAGCCAATCAGCGAATGCATGCAGCTTTGACTTGTAAATAAAAGTATTTAAATCTCAAGATTCAGCTTTCAAATAAACCAGACGTGACTGAGGTTTTGAAACTTTCCCAGCAGCGTGTTTGGCTTTGTTGATCAGTTTCTGCAGGAATGAGAAGAAGAACAGGTCTATTGTGGCCAGGTACGTGTCTGATGCTGCCAAAAACAGGTTCTTCTGCTCTTCAGCGCCACGTTTGGCAAAGCTGTGGAGAAATAACATCCATAACAACTGAAGGAATCACCAAAACCCCCACAAAAATCTACAATAAAAAAACTACAACCAAACGAGATCATCAACAACAAAAAAACAAGTGAAGAGTTAATACGTCATGAATGTTGCTTATTTCTAGGGAATGAAACTCACAACAGCTCTATTGGTGCAAGATCCAGTAAGGTTTCTGCTTCTCTTTATCCGCCTTATTTTTAATCTAATTTGTAACTCGAAGGTGCGAGTCATTGACAGATATTTAATAACTCATTTAATTTTGATCAGTTTCTCAGAAGAGACCCGCAGAAGTTTTTCAGGTAAATGACTACTAATAAAATCAGTCTTTTTTTTTTGTCATTTTGGAGCTTTACAGCGACAGTCCCCATTTACTTTCATTGACTGTAAAGAGCAGCGTGAACATTCTGCTAAACCTCTCCTTTTGCGTTTCCCAGTTTGGGACGGAATGAGGATGATGATGATGATGATGATGATGATGAGGATATTGAATGAAGTCATTACTGACACCAGTATGAATGCGCGTTATGATCCTGATCCGACATCACCGCCGAACACCGTCCACACACACACACACACTCACACACACTCAAACGCACACACACACACACTCACTCACTCACTCAAACACACACACACACACTCACTCACCCACACACACTCAAACACACACACACACACACACTCACTCACTCACTCACTCACACACACACACACACTCACACTCACACAAACACACTCACTCACTCACACACACACGCACACTCACACTCACACAAACACACTCACACGTGTTAAAGTTTGGGCTCCTAAACATTAGATCACTCTCACCTAAAGCA